CAAGTCTTAATAAGTTGTTTTTCTGCTCACATTGTCCGATTGTTACAAAAATTGGCATGCAGTTGATTTGGTTACTACAGCTATATTTGGTGTTCATAATAAAACTTGTAAAATCACTCATTACCCCACGAAATTGATGCTTATGTGAGGTGGGAGGGGAAAGAAAAAGAGCCGAAATGGACGTACAGTTTCTGGCTATTTTACAGTTTCTACTTTGATTTCTGATGCCCACTAAAAATGATTTTTTAATTTTGACAAATTATAATAAAATTAGGCTCCCCCTTAACTCCTCTTCCCCGCCTAACACGAGCATCAATTTTATGGTGTAACGAGTGGTTTCAAAAGGTTAATTATGAAGACCAAATATGTTTGCCATGGTCTAGTTAGTCTGTATACCAATTTCCATAACAATCGAATAATGTGAAAAAAAGTTTATTTGTAATTTTTTGCAGGGGGCGGGGAGGGGTGGGGGGGGGGGGGGGGGAGGAGGGAAGGAAGTTCCTACCCACCTGCGAGTTTTTTTAGGTAAAATCTTTTGGCTCTTTTTCAGTCCCCCACTTTCAAAATACCGAGTTTTATGTTTGTTTTACGTGTTATTACGGCTAAATGCGTGATGTTACGCTGTAATGTATGAAGAACAAATCTGTTCAGAATTGTCGGTTTGTTCACCACGCCAAATTTCATTGCATTATGACAACGTTAAATAGACTTTTCAAATTTGAATTTGAAAGGGGGAAACTGGAAAAGAGCCAATCTTTTGTTAGCATTGGCCGATTGCTATGAAAATTGACATGCGGACTAATAAGGTAATGACAAACATAAGTGTTCTTCATATTTAACCTTGTAAAACCCCCCGTTACACCATAAAATGGCTCTTTTCGAGTCCCCCCTTTTCACAACACCGAGCTTTATGTTTGATTTACGTGTTATTACGGCTAAATGCGTGATGTTACGCTGTAAAGTATGAAGAAAAAATCTGTTCACAGTTGTCGATTTGTTCACCACGCCAAATTTCATTGCATTATGACAACGTTAAATAAGCTTTTCAAAACTAAATTTCAAAGGGGGGAAACTGGAAAAGAGCCCATAAAATTGATGCATATGTGACGTGAGGGAAAAGGAAAAGAATCGCAAAGGTTTTCGAACACCTCGTCTAGAAACAAGTGGCCAAATTCTCAGACAACTTCTATTATGCTAATTTTCGGAGGGTCGGGAAACTTGAAAAGAACCAAATGTGTTTGGCTTAAAAGTTAAATAAGCATATCCAACTTGTAGCTCCAATATTTTCCTTGCCCGCTCGGCTTGTTTTCGAAACATGCAGATGATAGGGAAGGACATTGTAGTTTGCATCTGCATTTGACCAGCGTTGTTATTCGGAGTGAGGGGTGGCGTATCTGCTGGCAGGCGCGATTCTAGGATTTTTTCAACGGGGGGGATTATTTCGCTTTAACTTTTTTTTCAAAGAAAAATAGTCATTAAAAATGGTCAACGGTGCGCCGAAGGCGCTTTTCGGAAAAATGGGTACTCAAATATTTATGAAAAAAACGAGTTCTTTTTTTTTTGGTTCCCCTCAAAAGGGGAGGGGGCATGTGCCCCCGGTGCCCCCCCTCCTTAAAATCGCGCCTGTCTGCTGGTGGATCTTTTCCATCCCCCTCCCAAAGAAGTAGTATGAAAATGGCAGTTGCTTATTGAAAATTTTCAAACTTGATCTCACTTATATTTTTCGATTTATTGAAAAGTAATTTGTTCTGAAGTACGTTTTCTATGTAAAATTTTGAAAAAAGCTAGAGAGGGAGGTGAAACTGGAAAATCGCCTGTTGTGGGAGTGATTGGACCATGATACATCCCATTTATGGTCGTGTTAATCGTCTGCATTGTAGTGTGGTGGGCACTGCCTGATATAGTGGTGCTCATTATGATAAATGCGATTGTTGTTATGTAGGATATCAATACTTTTTCTTCAAAACTGCTCGTCACGCGTGAAGACAAGCATTTAAGCACGTGGAACATCTTAATTGGTTCCCCGCACCCCTTAACTGCGAAATTTACAAGAAAAGTTTGTTCGCCTTGTCCAATTGTTGGCTCTTTTTCCTTCACCCCCCCCCCCCCCCACCCACCTCACACGACAACCAATTTTATGGTGTAACGAGTGGTTTTACAAGGTTAATTATGAAGACTGATTATGTTTGGCCCAACCTAATTAGTCCACATGCTAATTTTCATAACGATCGGACAATGAGAACAGTAACTTAACTAGAAAAAAAGTTGCAGGTGGGGGGAAAAGGAAAAAGAGCCCAATTGTTATATAAATTAGGCTTTTTCCACTTGCCTCCCCATTTGAGTCTCAGTTAGGAAAAACTACTTAAACGTTGTCATAAAGGAATAAAATTTTGCATCGTGAACAAACTAAAAGCAAAATTTGCCGACACCGGTGGCGTCCCTCATGCTTGAAGGATCGAATGCTTGAAATTTATTTTAGCTTACTTTCAGCCAATCAGAATTGAGTATTCAAAATCTCAAAGTAAATCGTGAAAGTCTCAAAGTAAGGAAGTAAATCCAGGCGATTAGTGTTAATACTGACCGATTAAATAATAAGCAGATGAGTTTTTAAGACTGAAAAGTTCTTATGAACTTGAACTCATAAGTCTTGATGTTTATCTGAATAGTATTGCGGTTGTAGCCCGCAATTTGTAATATTTTAAATTATTTTCCACTGATTTAAAACATTTTCTGTTAATATCGACTTCTATTTTGCGAGAAAGGCATTTAGCCTATAGGAACGCTTAACGATTTTGATTGGTTGAAACTTTTCAAGCATTCGGTCCTTCAAGCATGAGAACCCTCCCCGCCGACACCATTTCAGAACATCAGCTCTTTTGCAGTTTACCCACCCGCCTCATAAAATTACAAAATAAAGCTGTTCAAAAATTGTTTGGCTCTTTTTCCAAGCCCCCCCCCACCTCACACGAGCTTCAATATATTAAAGTAACGAGTGGTGTTACGAGGTTGAGTAGTAGACCAAATATGTTTGTCGTGGTTTTATTAGTCTTTATGTAAATTTTCATAATCGGACAATGTTAACAAATTTACATATAAAAATTTACAGGTGTGGGAAAAAGGAAAAAGAGCCAATTGTTCACACGGCAATTTGTATTTAAAAAATGTAAAAATGCTGACACGTTTGAAATCAGTATATAACATGAAAATTCATTTTGAAAAGACTTTCACATATTGATTTTCAGAAAAAATTTAAGGGGGATGGAAAAGAGGCAGAATTTCGATTTTCATAGTTGTTTTACTGTTAGAATGACTAAATTAGAGGTGTTAATATGAAAGCAGGAAGAAAAAATCAAGAAGGTGCATTTGGGACTCTGGAATTCGTATGCAAACCTCTAAACATGTTCCAAATACATCTGTTGACGTCTCTAAATGTACATAATTTCTTTATCCTGGAAAAAATATTTCAAGACAACTTCTTCCGATGCTTTCGATGTTTTTTTTTTATTGTAACTGCATTGTGATAGCAATTGTTCTACAACCGCGTAAGATTCTGCTTAAGCATCATCTGAAACAAAATTGCAAAATCCAGAGAATTTTAAATTGAACATGACTAAGTGTCCCCAATGTCCCCCTGCTTCCCATACCAGTATGTTTTGTTTAACTGCGACTGACGGCTGTCTGAAGTTATGAAGATTTGGGTTCTGCTCACATGACGCGCCTTTTTTCTGGCAATTAACAACAGCTAAATGAAAAAGGTTAAGATATTTATATAAGGCGTTATCTGATAAATTTTTAAAGACTGGTCAAGTTTACTGCTGAAAAAAAATGTGATTTTTTCAAAATGGTTTTTGTTTAGTGTCAATGGGCGAAGTCATTTTTTTCTTGAGGAAAAAGTTGTTTTCCCGAGGAAAAAGTTTGTGAAAATTCTGTTCGCGCTTATTTTTCAAATTTTGATTTTTAGTATTCACTGTGTTTAATTGAAAGCGGACTAAGCTCTCCAATTACAAAATTGAATCACTCTATCCATTCCTCGACGATCATACATCTAACCGAACCATAGGACGACTCAGCAATGCCACAATTCTGCTCTCTTGTCGCCATCCGGTAAACGAGGATGCAAAACAGCTACCCATTTGCCTCTTTTTGCAGCATATTCACGACAGCAACGGAGATTGTGGATTGGAAAACAGCCACATCATATTAAAACAGGAATTCTGGATTCTCCACTAAAGCAAAGTTCTGAAAAGAGTTATCCGACCGTGCCTAGCATGCCGCTGACTACGGCAAGAATCAATTATGTCTCTAATGGCCGACTTGCCTCTTGCCAGATTGCCGCATTGCCAGTAAATGGCAACAACTACACCTTCTGTGTTCCCGGCTCCAACCGTGTTCCCGACATTTTGATGCACGTGCCAAAACATTTTAGAATTTTAAAACGATTGAAAATTTTATAGAAAACAGTATTCTTGATCTCATCAATTCTTAACTAATAAATTGAATCTTAACAATTTTCAAAACAAATTCTGGATCTCTTTACCTGTTCCATCTAATTATTTAGCCAGGCAGTTTTTCTATGTTTCGGTACTGAACGATGTGTATACATTTTTAAGAGCTCTCTGTCTCTTGCTTGCTCATTTCCTATGAGATACCTAGGTTTTGGTACGGTTACTGTCCCCTACATTCCTTCACCACCATTTGTTCACTCGTTGCTCTCTTGTCTCTCATTTCTTAGTTCATGTCTTTTAAGAACCATCCAAACTAACCAGGTAGAAATATATATGATGGTATGTATTTCGGGCTCTAGTACAATTATTTTCATCATACCTGTAGGTTGCTTTCGCTCTCTTCTATTCGTTGAAGGTAATTGTTCCCCGAGTTTTGCACTATTGCGTTTTGTTGCAATTTGAAAGCGCCTTTTTTGCAATTTTTGGCTTGGTTGCGGAATGAAGCTTGGCATCGGTGCTCAAGATGATTTTGCCCAGGGCATGTTTTTTTGTTTTTAGGTAGCGTAGTGATGATGTGTATGACACTATTTGCATCGTGCTCCCACCAAAAATTTTTCACAGAAACAACAGGTTAGACAATAGAAACTCTATCGATTTTTTCGTTTGAAGCACATTATCTTTTGGCGCTTAATTGTGTATCGCAAGTCGCCCAGCTTCGCCTCTGTGCCAAAATGATAGTTCTTGCGGCAAACAAACTTGTTAGTTATGAAATTCATTGTTTTCAGATGTCTGATTGAAAAAAAAAACAGTTTATAATTGTTTGACACCGCCAAAAACATTCCAATAATGCAGAGCTACAGTCACAGAGGTTGTCGCGAAGACTTCATGAGACTGGGCATCTTGACGGTGAGTGACCGGTGTTTCAACAATTACGCCGAAGACAGAAGTGGGAACAATATCCGCAAGGTAGTCGCAGAGAGACTTCCGGCAACTGTGGTTGCGAATAAACTGGTTCCCGATTCGCTCTCTGCTATCAAGAATGTTCTAGAACAGTGGTGTGACGAAAAGAGGTTTGTTTACTTATCAAATAGTATTTTGTCACAATCCTAATTTTTTAGTTTATGACATCGAAATAGTAATTATTCGAATTGCAACAAAAATAAGTTCACGTAGAAACTTTAACCAGTTTGGTCAAATACCGAATCTTACATCTGGTGATGGAAATCCAAAGACTCTTGCTGTAGTATTAGTTGTAGCGTTTCTTTTGGAACTCGAGTTAAGTACATCTCTGGTTTCGGGATGTCTTTGTAAGTTCCGGATTCTACGAGTATAGGTTTGGCCTGGCTGTATGAAAGCTGTGACGATTTAAGTAAAGAAACCTGAGTTAGTGGTGGACTCTCAGTGATGCACCATCCCTCATGGTCCTATAATGTGGTTTAGGTTGGATTTGATTTTGACGATTGGGGGAACTGGGTTCTCGCCGACTGACGTGACTCCTGAGGCCACGCGCATTGTGATTGAGCGGGAGGCCCCTGGGTTGTCGATCGCAATGATGAGGACATCGCTGGACACGACGCCAATGGCAATGCTGTCAAGGTATTCTATTTGACTGAGTTTCACTCTACTGCCTAGAAATGAAGGGCGGGACTTAATAATCCCTGATATCTGCTGAAACAACAATACAAAGTATTGGAGAAATGATCTACTCGATCCGATAAATATATCTTCCAACTTTGAACGATTGTTCAAGCTGCAAAAAAGATGTCTGAATACAAGAAATTGGGACTTATATATCAATTATAATGGTAATAAGGATGCTCTGAATGTTTTTGCCAACTTTTTGCCAATTTTTTTTTTTTGCTGGTTTGGAGTTGTTTCAAATCAAAGCATGAAAGAATTTTCAAGTTTTTGGAATTTAATGTGAAAACTTATGACTGTTTCAGAGCTGTCTGTGGAATCAGGGGACGTAGTCTCATTGTGAATTTACCCGGAAGCATGAAAGGCTCCCAGGTGAGAAAAAGATGACTTTATTGAACGTTTATGCAATGACTTGGTCCGAAAGTAATCGCTATATTTTCACAATTTACGATACTCCATTGTACATTAAGGCTAAAACTTACATGCAATGATTTGGTTATAAAACAGATTATAGTAAAAGACCTAATAAAGGTATTCTAGAATTATTAAGGGATTGTTGGTACGTTTTTTTTCTTCAAAAAATGCATGCGGCCATGAAATTTTCCGAATTAGTTTTCAATTAACACCTCGTCGCAAAAATCTGTACCTGCGCGAAATCAGTAAAAAAAGCTAGTTTCGGCCTTTTATATCGGTTCTTTCCCATTAAAGACAAATTCTATTTAGAAGAACGCGTTGTCCAAAATAGAAAAATTGTTCTATTGGAGCTGTTCAAGGATTCCTTCCCATAACACATTCGGAACATTGAGCTGTTTAGGAATGTCTGGAGACTATTGTTCCTGCTCTGCCACATGCGATAGACCTGCTGAGAGATGCCCTCACTGACGTCACAGCCACACATCACGCAATGCAGAGCCAAGGAGGCAGTCACCAGTCATCCCACTTGCACATACAGGCACGTCACTCTTTCACTCTCACCTTCTCCATCCAACCTTAAATTGGAACACCTGATAGGGGTGTCCCAACACAGTCTCAGTCTGAGAGGGGCGTCCCAACACAGTCTTAGCCTGAAAGGGTCGTCCCAACAGAGTCTTAGCCTGAAAGGGACGTCCCAACACAGTCTTAGCCTGAAAGGGGCGTCCTTGTTTAGCGAAGTTCTGAATGTCGTAGATTTAATTAAAGAATTCAATGTATATATTTTAAATTACTCTTGTGATAAGCAAAGGTGTTGCAACCGGGTGCTAAACTTTTTCCCGTAAGCCTCTTTGTTCAAAAGATTTGGCGGATGTTTCATCTTACTTCATATTAAATTCAAAATCAATGAACCAACCAGCGTATTGGGCGTAGAGGTAACAAACTTGATTAAGACGACCAAGCCCTGATATTGAATCCGGATGGGACCTCATTTTTTGAACTAGAAATTTTCAGCCTTTTCTGATTATCGTTAGCCTGTATATTTTTGTAGGCTTAGTTGCAATAGAACAGATTCTTTTTGAAGGCACAGCTTTCTTCTAATTTCCTGAATGCCATATCTAAAGCCGCAATGGTGGAGGTAAATGAGTTACAAGATGTTTTGCGGAATTTTCAGTTTTTGTAACTATAACAATTTCTAATACACTTATTGTTCCAATCATTTGAAAAATTGTTCGTATCATTTGAAAAATTAAGGAACTTTGTATTCGGGTGTTTTTTCTTTTTTAAAACAAAATTTAAAAAAGGTTTGAGTGTCAAGAAATACCGGTTCGAAATTTTTTGATTTTTCGTCTTTATTCGAGCGAATAAATTTCGTCTTAGTTTAATGGCCTAATAGCTTACAATAGCTTAATTTAAGCCGTAAAAATAGTTTTACTCGAGTAAACTTTTTTTTTTTTGAGAATTTTAGCGCCTTTTTGAAATCAAAAACTGCAAACAAAATGAAAATTTTTTTTCCTGTATTTTGTCTTCAAACCATAGTTAGTCTTTTTCGAGTAAAGTTAGTTTTTTTTAGTATTTAATCGCCTTTTTGGAAGCAAAAACTTCAAACATAATGAATAACTTTTTTTTCAGTAAATTTTCAAAAATTGTTTTTAATTTTAAGTATTTTACTATGACTGTCGAATATGCCTAAGCTCAACTGTTTCCTCCAGAATCTTTTATCACATCATGTCGAAAAAACGACACTAATTTGAAAAAAAAATTAGTTTTTTAAGACTATGGTCGGAACATTCTGTGCTTCTTGCACAGTAGCCAGCTATCCTTGATTAAGCTTATATTTTTTATTGAAAAAAGTTGCTTAGTTTTTTTTGCTCGGTTCAATAATGTGCTCTGAATTTTTATGTATGAAATGGTTGAACTCGCGATTAGCAAGCATTATCAATTCGTAACATAGACTTAATTTTGGAAAAAATTTGTCCAACAAAGTTATCACAGTATAATTTTCTCAATTCTGCATTTACGTCAACTAATAGACATAAATTAAGCATGTTTGCTGTTCAAACTCCCGTTCTCTTCAAATTTTTTTTTTAAATGAATAATGAACGCAGTGAAGACTCTTATATAAGTCTTGGTGATTTAATTTTGTTTTGTTTGCAGGAAAAGTCTTGAACTGCTCTAATAACTACGAAAATGACAATGGTGCGAAAAAAAACGTGAACCATTTCTAGTTTCGAAAATGGAATTTGATTTTTAGATTTCCAGTGGAGTAAAAACTTAAACTATGGATGCAGTTTTCTCAAGTCGGATTAATTTTGTCAAAAAGCGCCAATCATAAATTGTTCTAGAAGTTCCAAATTCTTAATTAAAGGGCATCTATTTTTGTTCTTTGAAGTTCAAAAGTTTGGAATTTTTTCAATAAAGTCATTAAGTTTTTTTCTGTTTACGAGCGTTCATTACCTTTTTTCAACTGTCAGTTGGCTATGTTTGTTTTATAAAAAACTTTTTTTTTCGATTTACCATTTTTGTGTCTACTCGGCTTTTCCGAGTTTTTTTTCGGTTTATACTTAACCTGTTTAGTGGCATCAAAGTGCATCGTTTGTTGGATTAGCAAAACAAGTTTTTTATGCTTGTGAGTTTTTTGAGGCTTACTATGGTAAAAAAGTTTGCGACTTTTCTATGAAAATAGTTTTTTTAAGTGTCGATGGATATCTGCTCAAAAGTTTTCGGCTTGATTACTGTTTTGTATATATGCAAATGAAACTCAATTTTGCTTTTCTTTTTGAAAAAACGAATTTTATTCATGTCAAAGAAATGAAATTTTCTTCTTCGCCTCTGTCTGTGTATCAATTAATTACACTTGCGAGAGCCACTGTCTTGTAATCGAGATCTTGATTTTTTGCTGTTAACAACAATTCTCACATGTGTAAAAATTGTTTCGACTGAGATCTGTCGGTGATTTCAAAAGCTGTTTTAAGCATGTCTGAATTTTACCTTCCCGTTCTTCCGTTCTTTTCGAAATTTGTGTTTTTTTTGGTTGTAAATTAAATTCGATTCCCCCTGATTCGACTAGAGGCTTCGGATAATCGAATGAAGGCTTAGACGCATCATATTGAAAGTTGAAAATTTTTGAATGCGTGTGTGTGATGGCGGGGGAGAATACATGCGAAACTTTTGTAGCTCAAATTTATTATTTTGACAGAATTTTTTTTCGGCTCATCGGCGTTATCCAGCATAATGGCTGATTCATGATTTTTTTTGTTTTCCTAAGTTCAGTCATTTATTAGTTCGTTATGATTTTTTTTTCAGGAAAAGTTCCATTTGTTAAGGCTCAAATTTATTTTTTTCCCGGTTTGACTTTTTTTTTCAAGTGCAGTTCATTTCTTTGTTGATATGGAAGCAAACTCCACTATCGAACAGCAAACGTGTTGAGGTCACAAAAAACGTGATTGACTCCTATTTCTGAAAGTAGAATTTAATTATCAGGTTTCTCAGCGAGATAAAAATTTTACTTATTGATTTTGTTTTCTCAAATTGGGTTAATTTAATCGAAAAGGGTAAATCATAAATTGTTCTAGAACTTCAAAACGCTCTATGGCCATCTATTTTTTCTTTGATAATCGACAAAGCTCTTATATTGGTCTTGCTGATTTTTTTGTTTTTTTTTTTCAGGAAAAGTCTTAACAACATGTGCATTCATACATATTAACGCATTTATGAATCCACTAATGTATATATGCACTTATTGAGTTTAATTGAAATAAATCTGCTGAAAGTTACGTGAAAAGCACTCTCCAAATACGGATGTGGAAATGGCACGAAAAAAGTGAACGATTTCTAATCTCGAAAGTGGAATTTAATTTAAAGATTTTCAGCGGAATAAAAATTTTACATATTGATCCAATTTTCTCAACTTGGGTTAATGTTATCAGAAAAGTGCCAATCATAAATCCTCTTGTGGCTATGTTCTTCCAACTATCTTTTGGCTTTGTTTTTGACTTTTGTCTAAGGTTTTTAAAGGATAGCTGGCCATGCTGTGTCTGATCGATAAACAATGAGAAGCTTCGTTTTGCCCACGCGTTAAAATAAAAAAAGGTAAAATTTTGAGAAACCTCAAATTATCACCAACTGAAGCTAACAAAAAAAGCTGCTGAAAAGTTTGATTTTGAAAACAATCATAGAAATATTAATTTTTCAAAATACGAAAAAAATCCGAATTTGACAATTGAATTTTCCGACTGAATGATTAAATTGTTTTGAAAAAATTTATCATCTAGGAGAATAGCTCGCGCTGAAAAAGAGCGGTCTTTTGTTATGCCAAGCGCGCGTAATGTACCATTTCTTAAACTTCATGAATGGTGTGAGGACTATTATTTGTTGGTGTTTTTTTTGTTTTGAACAAATTTAGCGGAGACTCAGTTCGACTCTGAAGACTAATTTCAACGATTCTTCGCTTGAAAACTGTCAATTAAGTTTCAATGAATAAAGTGAAGACACCCTATCGGATTTGTGCTCTCATATTGCCTCGTATGAGCTAATAATTAAGCGTGTGTGTGTTTTGAGGGAAACGACTTGTTTTTTTCGTGTTTCAAGTTTTTTTCAAGAAAGCAATTTTCTTTTCCGGATAAATGGATGTCTGTTTAAGTATTTTCGGCTTTCTGACCGTTTCGTAAATAGCTGTTGCATGTTCTCATGTCTTTTTCGAAAGGAACTTTATTCATGACAAATTGCTACAAATATGAAAATTATAGTAGTTATAACAGCTATTCTTTTGACTGGCTTTCGTTCCATTTTATGTTCACTAATTTTCATTTTGGTTTTACTGTATCACAAGCTTGCGAAGCTCTGCTTCGCCTCTGTGAGAATTTCAGACAGATTTTTAAGAATATAGATTTTAACCCAAGTTCTACCTAAGAATCGATTATGGTTGCATGGGCTTGGAATGGCCTGGAAAAGAGTCTGTTGCCGAAGCAACTACATTTTCCCAATCTTTGTAAATCAAAAGTCACTGTGATCAAACATTTGTAATATCTGTGGACAAGTCAACTACAGAGTCTGTTATGCTTTAGATGCCGATGCAGCACTCGATGAGGGTGGCACATTCACATGCCAGTAACATGCATGGCCATGGACCTCCGGCAAACACATCTATGGCCAGTGCGATGAGTCACGGGAACCTCGTGCGAAATGTAAGCATCATGATTATGCAACACTTTCTTCGATATGGAGTTTTGTATTTAACCCTTTTTAATTTGCAAAAGTTGAGGAATAAACAGATAGTCAAACTGGGCTTATATCAATCAATGGCTTATATTAATCAATGTCAAAGCGGGTGGGTGTTTCAAATTTCTTTGCGTTTAAAAACCTTTTTTCATAGTGAAAGCGAACCATGATTAGAAATTTGAGAAAAAATATGGAACTTTTTAAAAGCAAGTAGACGATACATGTGTCATTGTCATCGCTTTGAAGATGTATGGTCAATTCAGGTCATGGCTCCGAATGGCACTCAGTCTGGAGTGGGAGGGGGTGGAATGGGCGGGGCAGGTGGGGGCGGAGTGTGGGACTCTCTCTCATCCACTGAGTCCATTCCTCAACTCGATACCCCAGAGGAAAGTGACGTGGAACAGCAGAACAACGATAGAGATCAGAGAGGTATTTTTTGAGAGGAAAGGGGCGATCTTGTATTCGTTTTTCAGTAAACCACTGAGAGACCGATCTGCTTTAGAGGCTGAACTTTGTGGAAACTTGGTTGTGTCAATTGCTTTGAAGCATTTAACAAGGCTGATTTAAATTATCATGACAAAACCAGGAATTTTGAAAATTTTGGTTTAACTTTAACAAGAGTAATTTTAAATAAAATTTCAGCATTCATTCTTTCGTGATCCATTTTTCAAACATTTTTGAAGGATTATGCTTTATTAATGAAATCAAATTACTCAAAAGGCGTGTAAGTTGAAATCAAAACATTCAAGTCCACAATCTATTTGTTATCGCGTCATCTCAAATATAACAAAAAACGATGTTTTGCAAAGCCATTTTTTAATGGTTTGTTAGTTGTAATAAAGTTTTAAGCATGTTGTAGGTGTTCTGACAATGTCAATGGCAAACATAGTCCAGCAGCAAGTTTCGGGCACCAATTATGGTCAGAGGCACTTCGCTGCCAATGGACAGTCGCACTCGATGGGATCTCAATATGGTATATCAAATTTTCGAATACAAATTTTTTTACTGTTTTGTTTTTCAAACGGGAAATATTCTGTTTCAAATAAAATTGTCGGCCAATTATTTGTCTGCATATTTGTTGTCGGCTTAATTGTCATATAATGGAATGTTTTTTTTTGCTGCGCTTAATTTTCTTAAAATTTGACGCTTAATTTTCTTTAATTTTAATTAATGGCCTAATTTCAAGTCGTTCCAAGGAATACACAATTTTAACACTTCCCGCGGCACTTTTTAAGTTGGTGATATGTTTACCAATCGGTTAGTTAAATTTTTTTTACTTTTGATTTTTTTTTTCAAATTTTGCAAAATTTTTTGTTTTTCTCATAAGTTTCTACTGAGCTTAAAAAAGGGTATCAATTGAAGACCGCTCACTCTCCTGTGTGCGTGCATACTCCCAAAGAGTCTTTTTCTTGACCCCTCTGTCTACCGCCTTCGAAAAAGTGTGGGTTATTATTTGACCCATATTTTTTTTTCGTTTTCTTGTTGCCCCTCGTTTTCTTGTTACCCTGCATATGTGGCTAATTTTTTTCTACACAAAGTTATGGCCCTCGGAATTGTCAAATTTTTGATTTTTGACCGTTTTGTGATTCTTTTCGACGTTTCTCGAAAACTAACTTTTCAAATCTGATATTGTGGTTTCAATGGAGTTAACGGGCGCTGGGAAGCTCCCCATCATTTTTTTACAGAAAAAGTTATCGCCCTCGGAAAAATCGTTTTTGATAAGTTGACCGTTTTTCGGGCGTTTCTCGCTGGCTATCCTGCCAAATCTCAGATCATAGATTTAATTGAAACAGCATGTTGTTGAAAGCATACGTTTAGTATTGGCTATGCCCAGTTTGTTCGAGAAAAAGTTATCGCCTTCAAATAAGTCAACGTTTTGAAACTTTGACAGTTTTTTGGAAACTTTTTGTCTTACGCGAATACTACCGCGCCAATTGTCAGGTTGTGGTCAATTGAGAAATCCGGTTTTGAGAATTTTCTCTGCATAAGCGGCCCTACCGTGCTTTTTGGAGAACTATGTTATTGATTTTAGAAAGTCTTTTGACCGTATTTTTTGAGATGAAAAGTTCAATTTAAAAAACCGGTTGTGAAATTGTCCCTACAGAAGAAGTGACTACTGAATTTTTTTAGTAAGAGAAATGTTATATCCTTGGGAAAATTGATTATCTCAAAATTAGTAGAGAAACAGCTAAGGTTTTGGGCAAAGTCCAATTTTTGAAATCACTGTTTTTGTGCCGCATGAATATAGCAACTGCATTCAATATCAAGCACGTTACTCCAGCTTTAGCTTGGACCTTAGTTGTTTTTGTCGAGACATACGAAAATGTTGGTTCACCTAATTGTCACATAAATGTTGATTCACCTACGATTTGAGAGGGTAATTGTTAAATCGAAGCAACATATTATGTCAATCTTTTCTGTAGCGGCTAAGCCCAATCATTTTATACGAAAGAGTGTGCTTCGCAGAGATGTGAAATTTTTGATTTATTGAGTTTTTTGGAAACCCTGCTATTTATTAGGTAAAGTGTTGATTTCACTGAGAAACCCAGTTCTGGGAGTCTTCTCTACTTAAGCGGCCAGAAAAAGTTTTGATTTCGTAAAGTAAAGTTTTTGAACTTAGGACAGTTTATATAAAAAAGTTTGGTTTTCTTAAGAAGTACCCTATCAAATATGAGATAAAGGGTTCAATAGAAAAAGGTTCAAACGAGAACTTTTCCTACAGAAGCGGCAACTCCTTTTTTGTAAGAAAAGTTGAGTGTGTTTGGGAAAGTGGCTTTTTCTCAGAAGTTTTCACTTCTCACTAATTCTAGTAGAGAAACAACTAAGGTTTTGGGCAAAGTCGAATTATTGAAATTGCCCATTTCATCCCGCATCAGCATGACAAATTCCGAAAAAAATTAGTTTGCTACCTCCAGCTTTGGCTGCGCTCCATACTTGTACTTTATCGAGACAAACGAACATTTTGGCTCACCTAGTTAAGTTTTCACTCTTCTATTTATTTTGGTTGAGAAGCAACTATGGTTTTGGGCAAAGTCAAGCAGTTTTTGAAATAACTTATTTAATCCCGCATCAGTATAACAAGTTCCGAAAATATCAGTTTGCTGCCTCCAGTTTTGGCTGCACCCCATACTTTTACTTGATTGAGACATCAGAACAGTTTGGTTCACCTAGTTTTATTTTCACTCTCACTTTTTTTTAGTAGAGAAACAACTAATATTTCGGGCAAATTCCAATTTTAAAAACTTCCTATTTTTATCTCGCTTCTGTATAACGAATTCCAACAGTTACCTCCAGCTTTGAATGGGCCTCTAGTTACCATTTATCAAGACATATGAACTTTTTTTCCAATATAACTCATTTCTTATGAATTTCATTTCTACTTTTAATTTTTTTGTTTGTTTTGTATCGCAAGTGCTGCGAAGCTCTGATTCGTCTCTGTGTAGATACAAGTGGTTTTTATTACTCCTGTTAGTTGTAAAGCTAATAGCCCTGACCTTTTTTCCTTTGGTTTTCCTTTTATTTTTTAAAGAATTGAAGAAAGTAGATCAGAATCTTATATAGGTCGTCATGATTTTTTTTGTGATTTTTTTGGAAAAGTGCTGAAAGTTATTCTGGCTCAATTGTTTTTTTTTGCGGTTTGATTTTTGATTTAGAGTAATCAACGTGAAGACTCTATATGTATTTGTTTTTAGATTCAGATTAACGACAAAATACGCTCAAAAATGTATCAGTAAGCGGCCATATGTGTAGTGGAGTTTGGAATTTTTTTGAAATGATTTCAGTCTGCTTATGGTATATTTCATTTGTTTCTTTACGTCGTAGTTGGCGAAAAAAAGTTGACCTGATAGTCTGTTATGAAGTTTTGAGTATTGCATAGCGTGTTTATGTTAAAGATAGTTTTTCAACCTATGAAATATTTTTAACTGAATAGTAATTCCAGGGTGATTTTAGAATAGTGAGGGTTTCAAAATAGTATTTTGTCCTCGATGTGCTGTAAATTTACATTTGTTAATCACAATATTTTTTAAAACTCATTACACTTGCGAAGCAATGTGTTATAGAACGAACTTTCTTTTTTACCATTCTAAGTCGGAAATACTGTTGCGACTTTTGTTGCGATTTAAAGCAACAATATTTGCTGCATGGAATTGCCAATACAAAATGATTGGCAGTATGTTGCACCCTTACAGCTTATTGATAACATGAGCTTTGACCTTCGAACTTTTTTAAGTTTACACAGTTGATGCATTTTAAATTCAAGTGAACAGAAAAAAGCTATTTGTTTCAAACAACGTAACTACAATAAAATCTCGATTTCAGAAATATTCTAACTCAATATATCTCGCAACTTATAATGTGGCTTTATGAGTTGCGATTTTTTACATGCAAAATTGTATCTTTTTGTTTTAAGTGCTACTCTTGCTCCATCGAATTGGCAATTTATTAGCATATGTAGCTGCGTTATTGGTGGCTAGTTTTTAGGGATTTCAAGCATCCGTGGCTCAATGGTTAGTGCGTGAGACTCAAATTTTGCTAAGCCTCGAGTTTTTGCAAATTCGAGGCTTATTTCTATTTTTTCTATGTGACTTGATAGAGCTGCTTTTTAGTCGTGTTCGCGCAAGTGTTTGCGAAACGCAGCTTCTGTCTGTGTCAAACTTTTGGTTTCTTGTATTTTTTTGATAGTTTTTTTATCTCAATCAGTTTCTTGTTTTTAATTGTCACCGAACGTAGTGAAGACTCCTAAATATGTCTTGGTGATATTTTTTGGTCGTGGTTTTTTTGAAGAAAAAGTCTTTAATGGCCTAAGAACTACAGTTGTACTTTCACACGTCTTAATGCATTTTTTAATGCCTTCAGGTATATATGCACTTTTCCAGCTTAATTTAATTTCATCTGCTAAAAGCTAGTTAAATTGCTCTCTTCAAATATAAACATGGAAGTGGTGCAAAAAAGTTTGATCGATTTTTGTTTTAAAATTTATTATAAGTTTAAGATTTCCCAGCGGAATAAAAAATTACCCATTGATCGAGTTTTTTTAAATTGTGCAATTTTAAGTAAACAGCGTCATATTTCTTTTACTTTGAAATTCGAAAATTTTTTCATAATTAAGTCAATTTATTGTTGCTTTGCTTGCATTGACTCTCACAGTTGTGTGTTGGCTATGTTTTTTATCATCAGATCTTTTGCTATTGATGTTGCTTTTGTAACTAGGAAAACAACACTTGGTTAGGAAATAAAGAAATGACGCGGCTTCAGGGAAAAAATCATTAAAGTTGACGGGACTTAGTAATAATTTGACGGCAACTAGGCCGACAATACTTGGGTAGATGCCAGTTGAGCTAAAAACAAAACTTTTGTTGTGATAGAGTGTGATTTAAAAGATTTTGATATTTGAAATTGTCACGGCACCTCTTTCTCTGTCAGTATTCAAAAAAAAATTTCAAGCGGCACTTCTGCCAACAATACTTTGGTAGACACAAGTTGAGCCGAAAACAAAATAAAATTCAAGATATTTGTAATCACGAAAATGAGGATCTGTCATGATTTATGAAAAAAAAACTGATGGAGAAACTAAATTTTCAAGATATGCTATTGCGTCTTCATTCTCATAACGAAAAAATGTTATGTATATGTGTGCCCTTTTCTCAAAAAGCTGAAACGAGCAGACTTGAGTAATGACTGGAACAAGGCCCTGATCTGAGGTTCCACTCGTATTTCAAGTCCAACTCATCGAGTCTTCTAATCGTGGCCTGGTCCAACGTGTTTTTGACTATGTTTTCGAAAAAATTGAAGTACAGCAACGTAGTGCTGAATGTTTGCGCACTTCGTCTCCAAAAGAACACTTTCTGAGAGGCTATTTTAGCGAACTGAATTGGGCAAAGTGGTTGATAGTCGGGATCGCCATGGCAGTTTGAAGTGAGACTTCGGACACTTAACACTTTGAGCGCCGGTCTTGCTTTCAGAATGTAACAAGCGAGTTTCCATATTTTCCGAGGAGAGTAAGGCTGCAGTGATCTACTCACAGTAATGTTGACTATTCTCAACGAGGATAAGTCCCCCGATTTTATCAATTTTTTCAATGATTTCAAATCACATTCATCATATATGATGTAAAGTTCTTCCAATTTAGAAACTAAATCGCAGACAGTGCGAGATAGAAAACTAGCATTGGCCTTAAGAGTCTTTAATTTAGGCGGAATCTTGAAGGGATGAGCTGTTTTTTTAGGCTTTTTCGTCTCCAAAGGTCTGCGAAGCGTGAGGTTGATCAAGTTTGGGCATTTGTTTGAAAGGCACCACCTCGGGACATCTGGATTGTTACCCCAATCGTCTAACTGAAGCGTTGTGATCCGATCCAATATTGGACCATTTATTAAAGTCAAGGAATTCAGTTTGTTGCATTTGAACGAAGTGACCTTGGGCATTTTTTCGAGAAACTTGACTTCAAACCCATCTGTTTGACCCAGCGTGTCCATTTTTATCAATGTCAGCTCCTCGACATTGAAGCATAGCTGTGCAAGTTGATATGCGATATTATTATCTCGGAAACTCAATTGAGTTTGCTGAATTGTCAGTTTTTTCACATGATGAAAAAATCTACTGTTAAAAGAGGGAAGTTCAAATGTACGCCAAATGCGAACGTTCATGTCAATTTCGGTTGCTTTGTTTCCAATTTCTGGGAAAATTTCGTCAGCTAGCGTGAGCGCGAAGTGGTTATTTCCGTCGTTCGATACATCACTGTTGTGTAGATCTAATACAACAGTCTTCAAATTATTCCCAAATAATTCCCGATAACGACTGCAAATCAATTTTTTTTGATCTGAGAAGAATTCATCAAAATACGTCATATCAGTTCTGACGATAGAGAGTAATATTGAAAATTGGTTAAATTTCCAATCAGTACTTTCGACTAAATGTGTTAGAAAATATTCGGCTCTATTTGAGTTATAGCTAAAAGGAAAACAGTGCTCTTTTGAAAGGTAATATTTTAGAGTTGAAATATCATAGGTAATATTTAGTGAACAACTGTTAATGGTTCTGTAAAAATGGTAAGAAACTGATCGGAAAGCGAGGACGCTGCGGAAGCCCTCATTCTCGGCTAGGAACGAAAAAATTAGAAGCTGGCAGATTTTCCGGATAACGGATTCGGGAAGATCAGATATTTTGGTCGGATATTCATAAGTCCTATTCATTTCCGAACAGAAAAATCGCTGAAATTGCTAAGCTATCACTATCAACTAATTTAATGCTAGTTTAATATCAAGAATGAAGAAATGGGCGAAGTTGTTAATATGAAACGTTGTGTTCATTGACCATTTGTTTGTATTTATGATTTACTTTACATGTAGTTGGAAAATGGTATCATTTTAAGCTACTATTTTTGCAGTAATTCTAAAAATAGTATCAAATGCATACCATCAAATGTGGCAACCTCTCGGGAAACTGTGCATTGAGCAGAGCTGTCTAACGGCAGAGCGAGCTTGACACAAAATAGATCAGCGTGCTTAAAATAAAAATAAAATAGTTTTAAGTTAGAATAGTTCTAAAAAAGTAGTTTTTTTTTAAATCTATTTCCCTTTTACGACTAGGAAAGTTGGATCTCTTTCTAATTGAGCAATTTTGAAGTCGAATTGTAAACTTTTTATACATAAAAAACTTTCAACTTGTGGCGACCGCTGTATTTTGGTATTCTCGAACTTTGACTTCTTTTTCGTTCAATCGGGAGAAATACTGTTTCTAGTAAATTTAGGCCGTGGATGTTGCAATGCATATGTAAATTGTCGTGAGGCGACAATTCGTAACAGGCGACATTTCATAACAGGCGACAATTCGTAACAGACGACATTTCGTAAAACTTTATTGAAACTTTATTTCGCAAAACGGAATATTGCGCGTGAATCAGGATTCCTCTCATGCCGGATGTGAGCGAAGCGCAGCAAGCGTATTCTACTTGCCAATGCCTTGTTACGAATTGTCGCCTGTTACGAGTTGTCGCCTGCTACGAATTGTCGCCTGTTACGAATTTTCGCCCTGCCGTAAATTGAAGAACGTAGCAATCTAATTTCGACCTATGACACAAAAGCTATGCGAGTTTTCAAACATAACAACTTCGCTTCTCAAAGACTCTTATGATTTAAAAAGGAGAAATGTAGCTTTCACGGACACCCAATGAGTAAATGATTCATCTTAAGACTGCTTCCTCCAGGTACTGATTTTTTTTCTGTCATCTTTTATGTTGAAAACATTTCAATCGAGATGAAGGAACTTATACTTTTTTCTCCCAAAAATATGCTCAATCGACAAAACACTTTTTGTTTTTACCAACACGAGCGATACAACAACGAATGACTATGGTAAAATATAAATAAACATTTTTTTTTTGTTTTGAAAAAAATGACTGAAAATTGCAATTCAAGATAAACAGCCATTCATTATCCTAGATCTTATTGCAAATCTTTCGCTTATTCAACATTGGAGAAACATCATTCACGAAATAGATAATGAAAACAGCTTACTCTTAAAGTTAACGACAAGGTCAAAAATAGTTTCAGACGATATTTAAATATTGCCATTAAATGGTCCGAAAACTATATTTGCGGAGAATATTCTTACTACACTGAATCATGAATGCGAATCAAAACTCGACATAATTAGAATTTGAACAATGAAAATTAACGTGTTTTTATGAATTTAACTGCAACTCACTGAAACAGAAACCGCTGGCTAACAATATTTGACGATTCTTTCAGTGTATCTGTTTGCCAGTGGAAATCAAATCGGTCGACCGTACCATCCCCCCTCCCCTCAATCGAGGGGGATAAGTTACAGGTTTTTCATAAATTAACTTTGAGGACAATTTAAGTTGATCTAATTTTTCAACAACATTAATCCAAACAACTAGGAATATTGTTTTGGTTCACAAATTAAAGTAAATATTCTTTTTGAAAATTTAGATCTATTTTATAAATTTACGGAGGTTTATTATTTAGGCTGACATGAGCGCATGTATTCAGCGCCCTTAAAGCTATGACTTACTTGCAAGATCTCACCTTACAAATTGCAGCGCACGTGCGATTTGAACCAGCAATCATATGATTGCTGGGCACCATCACTACCGGAGCGCCACAATGCCCAGGTCGAATTTTCGCACGATCAGAATCAAGCAAAGCTCGAATTATAAAGAGAACGCTTTAGTGCTAAAGTAGTGCTCGTTTTTATGGGGTGGCAATTTTTAGTAGATATTATAGAAGTAATTGTTAATAGTTCCGAAAAATTGTCTCAAGCAGTATATTCTTAAGCGTTTGTTTCAACTGAATATTTGGTAAGAAATTAATTTTTAAAATAAATATGTGGCTAGGAGGATTTTCTACGGGTTTTCATGTGTTCATTTGAGGACGAAATAAGCTGATGTAATTTATCAGAAAAAATAGTCCAAAGTAATTATTACACCTGCGATAAACAAGCGTTATCAAACTGGAATGTTTACTTTTTTCGGTTAACAACTTGCTTAACAGAATTACTTGAATCACTTGTATCTTAGTTCATAATGAACTCAAAATTCTGCGTTTCCGGTCAACTTAGCCTGGAGGTAACGAGAATGCCTGGGACGATAAAGGACCTGGGTTCGAATCTGACCAAGACCTGTTTTTGTTTCCAAGCGGAAATATTCTGTTTCAAATGAAATTATCGGCTAATTATTTGTCTACTTATCAGTTGTCGGCTTAGTTGTCTCATCTTGAAATCGTTTAGCAATTTCATGCAATATCATACACATATCCCCAAGTTTAGCTAGGCCCCTAGTTGTTTCGTGTAGACATACGAAAATTTTCGTTCACCTAGTTTTTTTCTACGTTTTAAGTTTTTCTACATTTAAAATGTTTGCAAGTGGTGTGAAGCTCCGCTTCGCCTCTGTGTAATTAGTATTACATTTTTATAGTTAAATCGAAAAAATTAAAGTGATATTTCATCCATAGTTAGTTATTCTCTATACTTCGCTATGTGTTGTGTTTCCTGCTCTTAGAAGTCAGTGAGCTACAATCGTAGTCTGAAGCAGATTAAAACCTGATTCTAGACCTAGACGTATCGTTAATTAGCATACTGTTTCGTTACAAGTAGCACAGGCTGGAGTAACCCCTCCCTGAAACTGGTTTTTTGTTTTCCCAGTTTTTGTTTTTAAGAGTAATGAACGTAGTGAAGACTCTTATTTAGGTTTTGCTGTTTTTTTATCAGGAAAAAGTCTTAAAATTTGTTCACGCTCATCTTTGATTTTTCGCGGTTTAACTTGTGATTGCGTTTTAAGTTCAGTGCATTTCTATTGTTAAAAGGAAGGCAAACTCCACTATCGAAAATTGTAAACGTGATCGACTTCTAATTTTGAAAATGGAATTAATCATCAGTTTTCCCAGCGAAATAAAAATTTTACCTTGTGATCCAGTTTTCTCAAATTTGGTTAATTTTAACAAAAAAGTGTCCATAATAAATTGTTCTACAAATTCAAAGAGCTTCAAGGCCATCGGTTTTTCTTTCAGATTTCTGGCGTTCATTACTTTTTGCCAACTGCTAGTTGGCTATCTTTTGCTGTTTTCATTCTTAAAAACTTAAAACGTGATGCAGTTTTTTGTTTGCAATTGAAAAGAGTTCCAAAATTGTTTGTTGACACTATCAATTTTCTATTTGTTGTGTCTGATTACCCTTACGATAAGCAAGCGTATTGCAATTTGGTACTTAACTTTTCCCCGCATAGAATTTTGTTCACAAAATGGTCAATTTTGTCGGAATTGTAAATTTAAAGACATGCACAGTTTTGTGAAGATTCAAGTAAAGTTACCTCTATACACAATTTCTTGAGAATTCAAATAGAATTGCCTTCATCTAAATAGTAGATAGGTGTAGTCGGTTTCCGGGGTTAATTTTGTTTTTCAAATGAATTTATTGAAAAAATGTTGAAGTTTTTCTTACCATTTCATTACTCTTTTTTCAACTGCCAGTTGGCTATGTTTTGCTGTTTTGATTTTAAAATGTGATGCAATTTTCTGTTTACAATTGAAAAGAGTTAAAAAATATTTGTTGACCCTAGCAATTTTCGGTTGGCTGTGTCTTACTACACTTGTGATAAGCAAGCGTATTGCAGTCGGTTACTTTTCTTTTCCCCGTATAGAAATTTGTTCACAGAAAGGTCAATTTTGTCGGAATTGTAACTTTAAGGACATGCACAATTTCGTGAAGTGTCAAGTAAAGTTACTTTTATGCACAGTTTCTTGAAACTTCAATTAAAATTTCCTTCATCTAGATAGTTGATAGGTGTAGACGGTTTCAGGGGTTATTTTTTTTCAAATGAATTTCTTGAAAAAATGTTGAAATTTTTCTTTTCGGGTTCGTGGTTTTCGGAACAGTTTCCGTCGGTTCAATTCCCGTTTTTTTTCTGAAAGGTGTTATTTTATTTGGTACCGTTTATTATCAGCTTACTTAATAACGCATGGATTTTTTTGATTTTAGAATTTTCTACAATAAATGTTTTTTTTTTCGATTCAACGGTTGCGGCTTGTGTTTTATCGCCAATTCATTTCATAAGGCGTAGTTTTGAGGACAAAAAATTCCTGTTTGTTAAAATTAGGTTTAATGAAATCGTAGGAGATATCATTTTTTAATTTTCATTCATTTTTTGGACAATTTGAATTTTTTTTCAATTTTCTCTGAAATTTTGATGTTTCTCGACAATTTCTGCTTTGGTTATCACAAATTAGCAACAATGAAAGACCGGCTATAACATTAGTTGTCTGCCTACTTCCATAGTCTCTTTTTACCTGACTCCACCTTCAAATGCCTTCAAAGTTTTAAGGCATTTGAAGTGACGCAAGCAAATTTTTCCAATTTGAAGTGACGCAAGTCAAAATGTGGGGAAGGTTTGACTCGTTCTACTCGTGGGGAGCGTTGTTTTGGATTTTTTTAATCCAGCTATTATGTACAGCCAATGCTAAGGATATTAGCACAGACTATTATATTACAAATAGCACTTTAGCTTCAAGGTATCATGGTTCTGTAGCGTAGAGGTAGGGAAGGAGACCAGCAGCAAAATAAGAGGATTCGAACCTCAGCAGGGTCGGAAGTTTATAATGAACTTTTTCGTATACTAGTTAAATTGCGTCCTCTCTATAAAATTGGTAAATCTCAAATTGACTGGTACTGCTAATGCGTCATAATTGGCTTGCGTCACTTAGCAAATATGTAGACTCATAATTGGCTTGCGTCACTTAGCAAATATGTAGACTCATAATTGGCTTGCGTCACTTAGCAATTATGAAGTCTCGTAATTGGCTTGCGTCACTTCAGGAATTTTGTACACTCAACGTTTTACTCATTCAGTTTTTCCCAATAGCGTTGTCGGTCATATTTTTGATTGTGTATCCGAAGTGCAACTTTGCATCTGATCAAAAAATTACCCTGCCAGTGTCAATAATAAGGGTTCAGTTGTAAAAGCAGATTCCGGGATTCTTTGCTGTAAAAGCGGGATCGCCCTTTTTCATGCACAAATAAACAACAGCCTTCGGAGAATTCGATTTTTTTTTTTTTAAATCAAATTAGCAAACGATTTTTATTTTTATCAATTGACAAACGAATCGAACTGAACTTTGGAGATGATTTGACAGTTTTTTTTGTTCAAATTTGACAGTTTTTTTTAAGTATAAAAGAGTGTTGAGATTGTCAGTAATAAAGTTCCTGATGATTTTTGTTTTCGTTTTTTATTACTCAAAGAGAAATGATGGCAAAATTAGCAATCTTGCAAAATTAGGACTCAAATTTTTACCCGAATCAAGGAGCGTTTTTTATCTCGCTATGCATTATTAAGAGTCGATGAATGTAGTTCAGGCTCTCAGAAGTCAAAATTATTTTCTCGTTTTTCAGGAAAAGTAATAAAATTTGTCAGGTTCAATTTTACATTTTCGTGGTGTGAGTTTTGTTCAGATCATTTCCTTCTTAAAAGGAAGCACACTCCACTATCGAACAGCAAAAAGGTAAGGTTCACAAAACACGTGATCGACTTTAAGTTTCGAAAGTGGAATTTAAAGTTCACATTTCACAGCGAAATGAAAAGTTTTCTTATTGATCCAGTTAACTGAAATTGTGTTAATTTTATCGAAAAAGTATTAATCATAATTTGTTCTAGAAATTCAATGTGCTGTAAGTCCGTCTGTTTTTTCATTGAAATGCGAAAGCTTAGGTTTTTTCAAAAAAAAGTCAATATTTTCTGTTGACTTCCGGTCATTGCGTTGGCTCTGTTTCACAAATAACAATAACTACCATTTCTTTTCAGAAAAAATAAGATCAAAATGAGTGTTGCTCAATTCAAATTCAAATTCATTTGCTAGATGAAAGGAACATTAAGATATCCAATAAAAATGCCAATGGCCTGAAAAAAATGTGAAGGACGAGTAGTTTCATTTATGGACTCTAACTTTCAGAATTCCCAGCGGAAAAAAATTACCGATTGAAGCAGCTAATTGTTTTTTAAGGAAAAAGTGAATCAGAAAAGGTTTTCGAAATTCGTAAAGCTTTAACGTGATATATTATCCATAAAGTATAATATTGAAATCTCAATATTGTTGCGGCGTTCTGTCCGTTTTCAAGTAGGTTTACTGGTGGCGAAATGTCAACAATATTAATTGATTCACTTAACATGAGCTTTTATATATAAATTTTGATTTAAATTTTAATTAATTCGAATTATTTGAATTTGAATTTGAAATAAGTAGCAAATACTGTGGGTGATTTCTGTTTTTTGTTTAATATTGATAGATAGAGTGTATGGAGTAATTCATTCACTTTTTGCTCATCGAGTGTGTGCTCTAAATATATTAGGTGGAATGTCAAAACTCGAAAAAGAGCGCTAAAAAGAGTGTGTGCAGACCTGTCATTGCAGCTGAAATCACGATTAAAAGGGTTTAATTATAATCCTGTCTAACGTTTGTTGTGCCATCTGATTTTGCTTGAAAAAGTATTCTAATGATTATCACTTCCAACTATAATTGGCGGCTGAACAAAAATGGAACAGAAGCTTTTTCAAGTAGAGATAACGTTTGCGTGCAGTCCAATTCGCCATTTTATTGCTTCTTGCTTTGTTTGACCTAAATGTACCCCATGTGCTAAAAAATTGCAGAAGGCAAATACTATAAAATCCATGTCTGTTTCGATGACTGCTCTAGTTGTGCACTGAGCGTGGTGATGTGTTTATAAAATGGTGGCTGAATATGGAGAGAAAATGCTGTTGGTAAATTGAGTGGAATTTGCGTATACACAATACAATGCATTGGTGGTGTGGTGCGGTGCTAACGCAACAATATTACCTACCTAGACTATGCTCATTCAGTCACACATTCAACTAGCTCTTTTCAGTCCCACAATTGCTTGCTGAGTTACTTTCAACCTTCTCTTTCTATTGAATAAGCCATATAGTGATCACTCGAATTTAAGTGGAATATGGTGTTAAAAATCAATAAGTTAGAATTCATAAATATTTTCGAACATTACTCTGGCTATCTTCTTGTTTAGGCAATTATTTCTCACATGCCATCTGCTCCAGGTAGTATAGCAGACTTGATATTCGTGTTTGAGCATTATTTTTATAATAAAGAAAATGGATACCTGGGTGAAATTCATCAATCGCGAACAAAATCTGATCATTTGAAAGTGTCCGTTTTGTTTATTTTTCCAGTCTTCATTTTCTATAGTTTGGCTTCGAAAAGCGCGTGGTACAAACAAACGAAATTATGATGAGTTTTAAAAACGTCACTTGATTTTTAGTTGGTCCGAGCAGGATCTAATGGCATAAGGAGCGTTTTTGTGATCTATCAAAAGCGTGAGAAATGGGAAAGAATTTATGATATATGTATATGGATATTTATATCAGTAGCGTGCCGAGAGGGGAGACATCCCCCCCCCCCCCTCAACTCTGGTAGCCAAATTTTTCGAGAGGGTTCCCACTTTGGTATAACTTTACGACATCCATTTTTGGCTGAGTAAGCTCAAAATTTTTCTAAAGGCGCCTTCGGCTCCAACATAACTAATTTTTTTGCCTGTTTTTTTTTTTGAAAAATTAGCCGGCTGCGCAGAAAATTTTTGGCGAGATAAGGTCCTTGAAATCTAATTGAGCTGCATAAAAAAAGGTCCGCAAAATTTTTCGAAACCCCCCACTCCCTAGAAAAAGTTTTTCGTACGCCACTTATTTATATATAGTGTGTGGTATCATATTAAAACACTTCTAGTCGTGTTTCATGTTTTTGAAAAAAAGGGACATTCTTAAACTATCATAGCTTAGTTGTTGACTTATTTTCGCCCTACTTTTTTGACAAATGTTAAAGTCATCTTTTTCAAAGTAAGGGATTTAAAAAAGCTCTATGTTGTTTAGTTATTTTATGAATAATGCTATAACGTGAAGCTCATCCTTGCCTTTAATGACATCCAATAAAGATTATCTTGATAATCCACCTTGTTCTATATCATGATAATTTTCCCTGTTTTGCAAGTATTTTGTTTTTGAAACTCATTTGTTTGTTCAAGTGTTGTTTTCTTTACTCTTGTTAGTTTTTAAAGAAGCATTTCAAGTTAAAATGTTCAGATGATGGCTCTGCGGGTGGGGTTATGAACTCATCTTCTGGTTCTGCGTCCATCAGAAAGGGAGGAGGGTGCAACACAGGAGGGGGTGTGTCCTCAAGCTACCCCCCAGTGGCTTATAGACCAAGGCACTCTGTGTACCCCATTGTGCCAGTGGATCAAGCCCTCTCTACTATTTTGGACAATTGCTCAGCTCTGCCTTCTGAGAACGTCAAGTACAAGGGTAAGTGTGAATTGAATCAGGTTATTTTGTCGGCAGTTTCAACAATGGTTTTGACCGTTTGCTAAATTGGAGCTCTTTTTTGGTAGCGGATATAGTATTTTGGAGAGTCAATTATGATAGACTTAAAAGTTTCAACAAAATCCCCAGGAAATTTGCAAAGTTTTTTTTTGAAAATTGGGAATTTTCTGGAAGTTATTACGTTTAGAGTAGTAGAAGAAGAAGAATAATTTATTCCTCAAATTTGCTAACAAAATCAATTACGTTTCAAAATGAATGAAATTTATTGAATTTACTGCAAACTTGAGAGGAAAGACAAAGGACATCAAAAATGCCCACTATGAGTATGCCCTTGAAAAGATAAACGCGCTTGCAATCAAATATTTTAAATTAATTATAGTAACATTCAAAGACAAAAAAAGAGTGACAAAATATTTAAATTAAGTACTGAAACCTAAACAAGGAAAGCTGCCTGCCAAGGAACTTGTCTTAACAGCATATCACCTCGGTTCACTTATGAGAATAAGGACAGAGAATAATGATTGAAAAAATAATCATCATTATAAAAAAATAAACAAATAAAAAATTGTGATTTTAATTGTTTCTTTTTACGATTAGTTACGATAAAGTGTCATTATGAGAACGCTGGTGTTTAAGATGCTCTGGGAAGAATACTTTCGTGTGATGTGTACGCAAGTGATCCCTTGCCGCCTTTCCCAGCATCAATCAAAGACGGATATGCTGTTCGAAGTAAGTTTGCAACCACGTCTGAATTTGGCAATTAAAGATTGGGAGAATTTTCTCAGGAGAAGTGTTTTTTTTTTTCATTTCTATCATACACTTTGTTTCAGCCTGTGACGGAATTGGGATCCGGGAGGTCATTGGAGACAGTACCGCGGGAGCAATGGTAAGCAGTTCCTCTTTGGTTTGATTCTTAGTTTTCTCATCTTTTGGAATACGTTTTCCAAAGTGTAATAGTGTCTTGCGATTAGAAAGTGGAATTTAATTGGATATCTGACTTTTCATTGCAGCAATTATATGAAATTTTGTAGTTTTTTAATTTTTTTTACCGAATATATTTTTTCGACTTAGTAGCTTCCTTATCATTTTCTGTCCGCTAGCTTGCAATGCTGTGTTAATTTGATCGCAAATGGCACGAACTTGGCTTGGCCTCTGTTATTTATCTGTGAATATCTATTTGTCGGTTTGATTTTTAAGTCCATTTTAACCATTTTGAGTTTACCAATTTGGCATCATGTTTTTAAGAAAGTTTCTGAAGTTGGTTTTTGATTGTTTGAACATAGCATGAAACTTTTTGATACTGCATGAAGTGAAAGAAAACGCAAGATTTTGGTTTATATATACAGTCCATTTGGGAGCTCAGGTCTATTTTGTTGTTAAATTCATGTTTTTACTTACTGTGCTTAGACTACAACTGAGGTGGTGCCTGGATCTGTGGTGAGGATATCCACCGGGGCTCCCCTTCCTCCAGGGGCAGATGCAGTGGTGCAGGTGGAGGACACCGAGCTCATTGAGGCCAGCGATGACGTAAGATGAGTTACAACTCTGTTCTCTCATTAAAGTAGACTATTAGATCTTTTGATTCCCTGATTCGAAATGACTTCCAATTATCATATTCAGTTTGGTGATCAAATCAGTTGATTTCTAAAAATGTTACATAATATGGGTAAGGTGAATACTTTTTTTCACAAATACATGTGATATACTGAAATGAGCTCTTTTGGCATTTTGCATGGTTGCGGCTAGGTACCAAGATATCATTTTTCAGGGATACAAGGAGTTCAAAATTCGGATCCTGGCCCAGTCCAAACCAGGCCAGGACATCCGCCCAGTGGGCCTGGACATCCAAAAAGGGGAGAAAATCCTGTCGAAGAGTACCCGTTTGGGTCCCTCGGAGCAGGGTCTACTTGCTGCAGTTGGGGTCACACAGGTCAAAGTGTACAGACAGCCTGTGGTGGGGGTGATGTCTACAGGAAACGAGGTTCGCAGTTAAGAATAGTCAAAGTTCAAAGACAGAAAAAAAAGAAAATGATGGACAAAAATGAAATGATGATAAAAATGATTTATTGGAAAACGATGGCGTTCATTTTTTTCAGCTGGTTGACCCTGGGGACCGTTTGGCAGCTCATCAGGTGCGAGACTGCAACAGGACCACTCTACTCTCACAGCTGTCTGACTACGCTCTCAAACCCATTGACTTGGGCATAGTGCCGGACTGGTCAGTTGATATCACGTAGTATAATAAAAAACAATTGATAACTTAAGTTCGCAAGGTTTCTGGAAAAAACTTCGCCTCGTATTCCTAAACTCGAGGCCGTCAGTGGGTAATAAAAACTTCGGATTTACATCAATGCAGCTCGCGTAAAACTAGATTTAAAGTCGTAACAATATTAGCTTGAGACAGAATTTTTATAATTCAGAACCCCCGTCTCTCTCGCTTTTGGTCAGATCTGCTCACTTGTTTGAACACAAAACATGTTGCAAAACATGCCCTTGAGTGATTAATTGCACGTTTTAAATTTTCCGGATTTTATGGAAAATTTTGTCACTCTTATTTAAAAATGGAATCCATTATCAACTCTTGGTTTTGTAGCTCACATTGTAACATCAGGTACGAGTTTTGTAGTTAAAGTAAACCAGCCGAAGTACAAACCAACCGAAAATGAGCAGAGTATATAAGGTAGCCAAAAGGTTACGTCATATGAATCAAATTTGCATAACTTTCGTAACTGTTATGTAGTTGTATATCTGGTTTATAATACGGCTGCTTTATATACCACCGAGATTTGACTCGCATGTTAATTTTTTTAGACTGACAGATAGTTCCAAATTGAATATCTTTTCCGACATGGAATGTTTGGCATGCGTTTTCAGTCAATTTTCATGACAGATTTTGATCTGGTCATTTTTTTATTTGTCAACACTACCCTATTATAGCTGCATGATGCTTCTCGCCCCGAATTCGCATTTCTTCAGTTTTATTCTTCATTTTCTGTGGTAGCTGCGTAGTGACTTCGTGTAGCCGTTACAAATCTCTGCAAGGGTTATTGTGTTTAGCTCCTCTAACCTGGTGCGGCGTCTGCGTGAGTCCATTCACGAGTGTGACGTCATAATCACAACGGGGGGAGTGTCGATGGGGGAGAAGGATCTGCTGAAATGTGTGCTGGAGATGGAGATGGGAGCGAATATACACTTTGGACGCGTATTCATGAAACCTGGGTGAGTCTAAGACTCCAAGTTTTCCTTTTTACTCTCCAAGGATATTTTTACTCTATCCTTAGTCGTTTGATTGTTTCAAAAACTGAAGCACGACATGTAACCTTAAACTCAAACGAACATTCAGTGGCTACATTGAAAGTCGACGTATTTTAAAGCCTGTAAATTGTCTCTTTACATCGGCCTGGAAGTTGTCTCTCTACCTCGCAAAAATTAGTATTTATAACGTTGTCTATTACAATGGCTCTTTTGGCTTAGAGGCGTAGACAACAGTAACGAAAGCACATCACAACCACATCACACAGCCCCCCCACCCCCAGGAATTGGACCCTCTGACCACCCAAAGTGTCTCCCCCTTTGGTATTACTTTACCTTTTTCGGCGTCAATATTTATTCAATTTGAGGGGGAGAGCGCGCCAAAAATCGTGATTTCTTTTGGTCAAAAAGTGTCTATAAACGTCGAAAAATTTTCGAATATTTTTGAAAGCTCCCAACCAATCAGATAAAATCCTAGATCCGTCCCTGGTAGGTCCATCGTCGCGAATTGACCGGGATGGTTTGACGTATACTTTGCATCAAATGGTTCAATAAAAGTTTTTCTCAACCTTATCTTTGAAAAACTGAGCTCATAAAACAATTATGGATCGCAAAAGAAATTCATTGAGAATTTGCCCATAAAGTTAATATGCGTATTTAATGCCAGTAAAATAACCTGGTGCCAAAAAAAAATTCTACTCTCAAAGATCGTCTGGTTGCGAGTTATGTCTAAAATTAACCAATATTTGTCTGACTACATGTGACATGTAACGACAAGTTTAGTTTGTGATTGATAACATGTAGATTATAAAGAATTGGATAAGCATTCAGAATGTTCGGTTGCACCAACTATACCAACGTCCAGATTATGAGACTGTGGACTGGTGGTCACATTTAAAATACTACTAAACTCATAAGCTATTCTTTTCAGAAATAGACATTTATTTAGTTTTCCAAAATCGAAAAGTACCGCCAAAACTATTAAGCGGCACCTGACTTAGTACCTTTTAACAAATTTTAAATCTTATCTTTGGCTCAAAAAGGGTGTTAATTTAATAAAAGGATACCATTAAGTGACTCAAAAGCTGGTATGATACTAAATGATATCTAAGAATTTCAGCTCTGGTCTCTTCGCAAATCGAGAAAAACTTTCGCCTTTTACTAAAGTTTTCCGTGCGGAGGGACAAATTGAGAATTCTCTCTTTTTCCAAACTTGCTCTTCGGGGCAGGTATCACAAATAATGAACACGTTTTCTAGAAAATATTTTCAATTCTTAAATATTATTGTTCCGACTTTCAAAGAAATTGACGAAATATTTGTGTTCGGGGCGAGCACCGGCTTTTAGCAGGCCAGTGGTCATTTTTTTTCAGTGGTCATTTTTCAATAAATTATGGAGGTTTGGAAATTGGGCGAGTTTAGGATAATTAACGTGCTATTTATACGTAAGTGGCTAATTAAATTGTTCCAAGTTTTCAACTGTATACCAGATAAAGATGTACCATAGAATCGGGGACTGAAAAGTGGTCCATTGTGTTTTCAATGCCTATGCGAGTAAATATTCCTCACCTTTTTAGAAAATGTCCTAAAACTTGCTCGTACCTTCGTGAATTGGGAATTTTTGGATTAGTAGATATTTTTCAACCTCCATCTTGTCTTAAAGTGAAAACAACTGCAATTACTCTCAATGATTCGCAGCTAGGTTTAAGAAAGTGCTACAAAAAGCCAAATTGCCTGACCAATATGCATACCTAGATAACAGAAATATACGTAATGCAATCTATTACGCTAGCAATACTATAGACGTCGGACAAAACGCTTGCTAGGAATAAAGGGTCCTTTCTACTTTCTATCTTAGAAAGTAAATCTAAAATTCGCTGAGAAATATTTTATTAAAAAAAGAAGTTAGTATGAATTTACAGCAAGTTGCCTTTTGACTCAATATCTATTTTAACGGTGAGATTAGAGATATTTTTTAGAGATTGGTTGGGGTGGTAGAAGAGAGTGGTGTTGGTGTTAGAAGAGATATTGTTGGAATGAATTCCCGTAGTTTTGAGCTTCTATTTATACTCAGATTGGGAAATCACGCCACTTTTCGTATCAAATGAGAAGTTTCTTTTAACTTCGTATTCTTTATTCGTACATTCGTATTTTACGAGAAGAAGGTTTCGTATGCTCGTATTTTACGAGAGGAATCGTTAATATTCGTATTGAATGAGAATAGTCGTTTCAATTCTCAATGCTTAAAACGTTATACGAATTATTCCAATAGCATTTCCCTTCCTTTTGCAAGGGAATAAAAACATATTTCTTTTGGTGGTGGCGGCGGCGTCACATTTTGTGAACGCAATAAAATAATTCATGTTTCTGTTTCTATTTGAAATCAGAACATATCCATCCTCCTATTTGGAGAGGGAAAAAACTGAAACTTTCATTTTTATTACTTTTACTTGAATAGTGGGGTAATTGTTGATCAATCGAAGCTTTTTCTTTCAATCTCATAAAGTTGGTTCAATAGTTTGTTGGTATTACAGGTAGCAGATGTTTTTGAACAACTGATACTTTGAGTCAGGCTTGAATGAATATAAACACATCAGTTACATTTATAAATCAAAATAGAGTTTACACAACCAAGGGATTTAACTATAAAATTAAATACATCAAAATTATCTGTTTCTCAAAAGTTTGAAGGTTAGTTTTATTCCTTAAACATTCTTTTTCCGAAGTCTCCTTTTCTTCCTGAAGTATGTGAAGTCTGTCCACACGCGTAATAAGGGGAGGACTGGTTCATACAAAGGGGGTATTTTTTTGTGTTTTTTGTTTTTTATAAAAGTCAAAATTGTTAAAAGGAAATTAATAGCTATACTACATAGCTATATAAAGCGAAAGAATAAATGCTTAAATAAAAGGATAAATTTCTTACAATTTTCCTTCCAACCGGGCTATAAGTTGTTGATTTTTTGTTTTCAAATTGTGGATTTGCTTTTTCAGCTCCCGGATTTGGTGCGTTTCATGGATATGACTGCGCTGAATTTGCTCAGTATAGTCATCTAACTGGGGGGTTTGTAATTTTGCTGTCAGATACTTTGCTGGGACATAGATTTTTTGATATTCAAGAAGGGAATTAGTTATGGAATACATTTTTTTTATAGGATGATAAGCTTCTAATTTAAAACGATTGATTAATGGATTCAAAGCATAATTGAGATTCATATCGAAGCCAGGATTGCTTTTAGAATTAATGTATCGTTCCCTTTCTAACTGAATATGTAATCTAGTGTTTATTTCAGTGGGGTGCAAGGGCTGTCGCCTAATGGTCATTGGACAATGAGAAGTTGATACCGGCGTATTTGCCGTTAGTATCTTATATGGTTTTACAATCTGGGTCCGTTTTTTAATTTTAGAATTCGAGGGAACCAGGGGTATTTGAAAATCAGGGGGTGAAATATTTAGGGGTGGTGGCTGTGATGCTGTAGTTATTGGGACAGCTGAACTAGTTTGAAGTAGTGGCTCAACGAAGGATCGTGTTGAGGTCGGTTTTGCAGTGGGTGTTGTAGTAGAAGAAACAGTTGGTTGTTGAGTGAGTGCTGAAATCTGCGAGTCCAGTGGATCGGTTGGTGGCAGGAGTGAGAGAAGATCTTCAAAATCTCTCAAGTCGTCATCAAGTGTTGTGTTCATAGTTGAATCAGTTGGTATATCCTAGAACAGTAGAATTTTTTATTAGACTGGGTTTGTTGGGTGATCCAAGTTTTGAGTTCTTCTCTCAAAACTTGTTAATTGGATTTGAGGATACATGCGATCCTGGTTTATTTTATCAATTTCCTCTAAAAGAGGGGCTTGTATTTTCTGATCACATTCTTGTTCTATTTTTTCAGCTTGCTCATCTTGAGTGAAAATTGAGGTCACTATGGAAGTGAAAAGTATATTGTATGAAGCGGCAAGTAATACTTTGCCAAAATGTAGTGAGCGGCCGGTGATTTTGTGAATATGCATAGCCTTTATTATGAATACTAGGCAATCTAGTATGAATTTCACAAATAGAAAAGAGGCGAAGACTATTCCGCATTTTTCTAAATAGTATTGTACTTTCCCGAATATACGGGTGTATTCGTTTTTCCAAAAGTTTGGAGAGATGAGATAGTCCAAATAAATTGTTTGGGAAGAGCCTAGCGGGCTGTATGAGTCTTTGAAGAAAATTTTTTTTGCATTGAGAAAGGACCTGGATACTTTTTGCAGTATTCCTTTCATCTCTGAATTATCGGAAATCATATTCCAGAATTTTGCATTTGAGCATAAGTGTAGATTGAAGCGCCTTGGCTAGAGGCTAGAGAATGCTTAATCTTTTGAATTATCTCTTTTGGTTTAAAGAGATGTGGTCCTGTAACCCTTGTAATTTGAGGGGTTAATTCAATCCAGGACTTATCATCATCAACATCTAGTTGAAAGAGATTCGAATGTTTGTCGGAGCAGTCTTGTAGATCTGCCGACTGAAAAGTTTGTCGCGTAATTGGATCGACAAAATGAATATTTTCCTTATACATAATGGGAATGCGATTATAGCATTCATCCATTAATTGCAAAGGTGAATAAAATTTTGGACAATGATAGAGCCAGGCAACATTGCCATTGGTCTCTAAGAACATAGAGCGGTTTTTGGTTAGAATATAGCCAGCCAAACGTGGGCTTTCAAGCGAAAGCATTAAAGTATTTAATATTGAGGAGCGTTCTAGCTCACATTGATTTTGCAGAAGGGCTAACTCGGCCGTTCTGAGCATGTAGAAGCTATAAAAAAGAATATAGTCCAATTTGGTACCTATATGAGCTTCGTAGTCAATTTGATGACTTGAAAATTGGAGTGGCGGCGAATCATCACTTAATGTGAGAAAAGTAGAATTTGGTTGGCCGGCATTATGAATAGTTCCCGTTTCTGGGGTTGGTTTAACTTGGATTCCAGTATCCATATTGAAAC